ACCAAAGGTGGCAACTTGTCCTTTCATTTCTAGCATATCAAACAAACTAGCATGCGATGTGGTAGAAAGCCGAGAAAATTCCACGCTAGGCCTTGGGCCAGCTTGCACTTCAACCCCATCCATTCTTCATGCCATGTCTCACTCGGTCACGAAGGCCGCGCGACGAGCCTCTTCTTGTCACGAGACCACCATGCCGGGCTGGTATAAGTCAGACGACATCAAAATGTAATCCACCTAACGTCGGAACTGCATTAACACATCAGCCACGGCCATTTGGTCGTGAGACACCCATCACAAAGTGCCGACGCATACCATCGTCCATCGTAAACCAAATTATTGGCAAGGGCTACAGATTCTCGCCATCTGCGGAAGGCGAGAATCCCTTCCAGCTTTCAGTCAGTTTGAAGCCAGCCCCGACACCTTCAGAGCCGTTCCATGATGAGCTTTGACAGCTCCACAGCCGGCCGCCACCGTCCAGGCGCCGGGAGAGGGCCGCTCTGCTTTTTTAGACCTCACGCCCGGTGCCAAGGCGGCGCTGATTGCTGTGGCAACTCGCCAGTATCACGGTCTGGTCCGGCCAGCAGGCCAGCGGGGCCGGTCCGCCGTGTCACCGGCAGCAGCAGCAGCAGCAGCAGCAGCAGCAGCAGCAGCAGCAGCAGCAGCAGCAGCGGCAGCAGCTGTCTGTCCCTCCTCTCAGCCAACCGATCCGCCAGCCCGCCCGACAGTCTGTGTATTTGGACAGTGCGCACAGTGTCGACGTCAGAATGGCCTGATCACTGCCGGTACGGATTGCGCCTGTCCCTGGACGCGGCACACAGGTGTGAAGTGCGACAGACGGCGAGCGGCGCCACGTGGGGTGCGCCGAGAGCAGCCCTGGCGCCGGCGCCGGCTCACTTCATGACAGGGGAACGGGGCGGGCCGACGGGCCTTCAACGGGGGCGGCCAGGGGAGGGTTGGACGTGCTTCGCGGAGGGCGCGAACGGGGTCGATTACAGCTCACAATACCGCAGAGGGGCGGTCCCCACCCCTGTGCACGTAGGGAAGGGAGCGGGTCGCACGTGTGCGCGTTACGTGCGGCTCAGAGAGTGGTCGGACGTGCCGCCCGTGGCGCTCGAGGGCGCCGAGCTCCACGAAGGTGACTCAGAGAGGGTGATCAGCGGGAGGTCAGCACCCCAGGGCGCAGCTCCGGGGTGCCGGCGCACAGCCGCACACACAGAACACCAGAGCACCGCGGTTACGTGGTCGGAAGCAGAGGTTAATGAGGCAGCAAGCACTGACCACAGTGCCCCCTCTCCCCCTCCTCCCGGAACCGATGGCACTAATCGGGAAATGCCTCTGACTCAACTCCTCTTATTCCCCATCTCCCTACACCTGTGTCAACCGAAATATTACTGAGGCTAACGGATACGAAGGTAAATGTTGATCGAGTCGCTCAGATATATCGGTATTGGGAGCGGTGCCAACTGGAGACAGCAACAGTAAGCCTCAACGTGAACGGTTTATAAACAATGCTACCAAAGTGGCTCGCGCTTGCGCTTTCGGTGCAATCTTCGTCTCGTCTGTTTATAGCCGCAAACTTGGGCGTTTACGGAATAGTTCTGAAAAGGGAAGTAGCGTGGAAAAATAGAATTCATGTGTTTATATTTGTAGTTACGATCATGAGCGATCCAGTAATGGCGAGAGGATTACTGCTCAGAGTCTGAGTCAAGTAGTGTGCATGCAGGAACGAAGGCTAGTCACACAACAACCACACATACAACAAAAAGGCACTATATAGATGATCAAGTTACGATCTCTCACATTAACAAATCTACTAACAAAAGGGCATGCATCTACTACAGCCTGCATCACGACTTGTTTCTGATGCCATCCCGTAATCCAGTCACAGAGAACGAGTCCACTCATATCATTGGACAGGCAGGGATTCAAACAGTCGGGAGCTGAGCGGATCAGGCAGGAACAGACGGGCGCATTGATGGCAGAGAATGGTGTCTAGGTCAGTGGGCTCTTCTTCGAAAGAGGTGAAGTTGCGAGAACTCGGCCCTGGTTCAAATCCCTTCCATCAGCGTCGATGATACAAAGGTGCAGCTCACTCCAAGCAGTAAGTGAACTGAAAACAGTGAGTGATGACATGTCCCGCCACACTGTGGTCGTTCAAACTAGACGGCATATCATCTCGCCCTTCCCTGGAATCACCTAGTCTTCGTCGGTATTGACCCACCAGCGGAACCGTATGGATAAAGGAGAGGTGAGGTGAGGATAGAGCAGAGGAGAGGTGAGGATAGACCAGACATGGAGGAAGGTGAACCAGAAGGATGAAGGGTTCTTTCATCCATGGAGCAGAGGAGAGGTGAGTACACTACTGAGTGAGAGTGACGAGAGGACAGGACATCAAGCATGGATAAAACGAGTGCGGAGTGACACAGAAGCGAAGACAGGGCGTCGAGCAGGGGTGCATCACGGCCGCGGCCGATCGGGCGCCCGTCACCGCGGCGATAGTGCCGCCAGCACGTGTGTCACTTGGTCGGGTGGCCGCTGCACATCATCGAGGGCAGATGGCAGACGCCGAGTGACGACACCGCAAACGGCATCAGCGCGGCGCCAGACGGCCAGCGGACCTCGGACTGGCAGGACCAGCTTCAGCCATGGGACATGTGATTTAAACGGGTATATCGTCCGAGAGTAGGGTTATTTATTACACTATGGTAGGGTGACTAAACGATTTACTGTATATCTACTTCACAGATGATTTATAAGTTTTTTAGCATGAAGGTCAGTATCACAGTGTTTTGCCGATCAAAGACATCATTTATAGACTGGAGGTGAATCCCTTGGCCATCAGCTCCAATGGCAAAATAACATGCCCAGAGCCACGAGAAGTCACGCCATGAAAAAGCACTTCTCAGACCCAAATAAGGAAGTGCTATGGTGCATCTCATCCTCCGTAGCCAGCCGTCGCCCACTCACTGTCGCAAACATCGTGTCTACAGCGTGGCCCAGTCATAATAAGCTCGGGTCCCCTCCTCATGACGCCCTTGGTGACGAGCCAAACGATGACACCATACGCACATCAAAATACCGCCTCGCCTAGAGCTACCAACACTCCGAAACGACGCCGAAATGTCGCCGGCGAGGATCCTTCACCAGTCTCCGTCCAATTTGGGTGGCGTGGATGAGCCTCCCACAGAGATATGCCCAAGTTAGTTACGCCTGAGGACCAACGGGAGGACCCCGTGACGCACCGCACCAGGAGAAAGAAGAAAAACAATAAACACACTGCCTAGGTGGGAATTGGAGGGGTCGTGTGCCGTGTAACTGCTCGTGACGTCCTAGCTATCCACCGCGACGAACTGGTCTGGCCAAGCATAAGTCACAGAGAGAGGTCATTGAAAAGCGACTCATGTAAGGAGAAGACAGCCGTTGAAAAGGCGGGATGTTGAAGAAGGGTGGAATGACAGTGTCTGCCCGGACTTTGCACATGGGTGGGAGAGAATGGATTCCGCTCATGGACTGAAGAGCACCAGCCTGGCATTTACTAGGAAAGAAGCAGGAGCACCTCATCAGGGTCATGGTCTCTAGTGCTTTCGCTTGTTGGGATTTAGGAGCACTAAAATCAGCGAGACTTGTCATCGGCCAAAATGTTCGAGAATAGAAAATAGCCTCATAAAGCAGGTCACAATCTTTATATTCTTTTTATTTATCTGCTAGTAATCTTTTTTACACTAAGCTTCAGCAGTCTCCGCACTTCTAAAACAGGACATAATTTCTATAACAACCAAGTGACTAAAAACTGAGCGGAACCCGTCTGCGGTTGCACCCAGCCCAGCCCGCATGTCTCGTCACCTACGACGCGGATCGGTTCCGTGACATGTGCCACAGCCCGTCTCAGTTCGGCCCGCCGCCGGCGCCGCTCCGTCCACCAGCGACATTTCAATCGCCAACGTAAACCTGTCAGCGCGTTTCCGGGCCGCCGGCACAGTTCAAAGCCGAGCGTGCAGCCACGCGCACTGATATCAACACTGGGGCGGCCGCCACGCGCACTGCGGTCGCCGCGGCACCCCGTGCGTACTGCACGCGTCCAACTTTGTACTGATGCGTGCGGGGGCGTGGGGCTGCCGCCGCCGCGTGGTGCGTCCCACAGGGACTGGGGGACCCGTGTGTCCCACACGAGTTGGGACGGGTCATTCCGTGACAGTCATGGATCTGCACGGGCGCGCTGCGACGAACAGCGCGGTCGGAGAATGGGCGCTGGACCACTACCTCGTCATGAACGACGACCCCAGGGGCGCTGCAATCAGGGCCACGGGTCATCCGGCTGTCAATGTCCTTCAACTGCAAATAAACGAGCAGGCGGCGCGGCAGTCGGCAGTGGCAGCAGCGGTGGCGGGTGGACAGAGCCGATCGGGCGCTAAGCACTTCTCAGTAAAGCGACGGGGTAGTGATTAGTACCGGCGCTGCTATTCTGGGTTTCTTTGGCGCGGAGACAGCGATTTGTTGTCATAATCACTATGAAAACAAACGTTATGACAGCTATTGATGTTTGAAGTAATAGGCAGAATTTAGGAAATGGCGACAATAGAAACACCCCTCAAGCATTCCATAAAGGAATCGTATCATGAGAAGTTCAGAGAAAGTCTTGGGAATTTCATGACCGAAGAAAGTAACATCTCTCGAGTCTAAGAAAAAAACCACATGTCTGGTCGTCAACCGATACACCAGTTGAGCGAGAGCGAGGGAGGAGAGGGCGCGCGGCCCGAGGGCGCCAGCACGCCACTAACGGCCCCGTCGGCACCGACAACGCTGGCCAACGCCCCGGCGCCGCCGCGCCGGCAGACACATCGGCCCGCCACCGGCAGCCGGGCGGCGCGCGCGACCCCGCGCAGCGCTGGCGCCCGACTGAGCGCCGCCATCAGCCGACCCTCCTCCCAGCTCCGCGCGCTGACGCCGCCGCTGCGTCAACGGGGCCGGTCCGGTGGTGGCGGCGGCGGCGGCGAGCGGCAGTGCGGCCCGGCGGTCGCTCAGGGTGAGTCATCCACCCGTGCAGAGGCCGCTACATGGCCGCCACCTGCGGCCAGCGACTCAGTCGACCGCCAGCCGCTGTTCAGAGCGTGCTACCATCGCAACCGCAGGTCGTGCGCACACGTGAACCGGCGCCGACGCGTGCAGTGCGTGTGCCGCAGCGCGTATAACACGGTGCGACCTCGGGTGTCGGCGCAGTCCGCCGCCAGCAGTGCTCGGGTGTGGTTCGCGTCGCCTCGCCGAGCGGTGACGATCCAACATGGCCACTCAGGGTCAAACAGAGCCGCGGCGGCCGGCCGCCAGTGCGCGCAACAGTGCACGGACTCTGGCGCTAGCATTGCTCACCACTTTAGCACTTGTGCCGACTCCATCGACCGGTGCTCCACCTGCAGTGAAGGCCGATGTGCGACTGCCTCGCGACGTCTCACTTAAGGTCACCGTGCGGCCATCAGTGCTGTCTCGTTCGAGGCGTGCGCCTTTCATCGACGACGACGCGCTCAACAAGCTAATGCACTACGGCTACCTGCCCGAGTCAGATCGTGAGACTGGCGCACTACGCGACGAGTCTCAGCTGACGGACGCCATCCGGCAGTTCCAGCGCTACGCCCACATCCCCGAGACTGGTGTGGTGGACGAGCTGACGCGAAGACAGTTCGCCAAGCCGCGCTGTGGCCTGCCCGACGTGCAGCCGCGCGGCCGCGGCAAGCGCTACCGGCGCCGCCACAAGCGCTACGCTCTCCAAGGCCAGAAGTGGGACAAGACCGATCTTACATGGACCGTGGCGTCGCACACTCCTGACCTGGACTCAACGACCGTGTACCATGAGCTGGCGCGAGCACTCAAGATCTGGTCGGACGCCTCTGTGCTGACGTTCACCTACGTGCACAGCGCTGACGCCGACATCATTATCAGCTTCCACACGGGCTACCACCAGGACGGCTACCCGTTCGACGGCACGGGCCAAATCCTGGCGCACGCCTTCTTCCCGGGCACCGGCCGCGGCGGTGACGCCCACTTTGACGAAGCCGAGACCTGGATCCTGAACCACGAGGAGAAGAAGCGCGAGGGCGTCAGCCTGTTCGCCGTCGCCGCGCACGAGTTCGGCCACTCGCTGGGCCTGTCACACTCGTCGCGCCAGGACGCGCTCATGTTCCCGTGGTACCAGAGTGTGTCGGACGACGCCAAACTGCCCGACGACGACCGACTCGGTCTGGAACAGATGTACGGCGTCTCCGGAACGGAACCACGTCTGGTGCCCAACCCCTACCCACCGCGAAAGCAGCCGCAGCCGCGGCCAACCCAGCCGCCGCGTCGGCGCACCACGACACGTTCGCCTCGCGTGCGGCCCACGCGACCGGAGCAGGCGCGTCCTGACGCGTGCGACACGCACTACGACGCAATCAGCGTCATCCGAGGCGAGACGTTCATCTTTTCGGGCCAGTACTTCTGGCGCATCAACCAGTACTCGGGCACGCACAAACCAGTGCCAGTCAAGATCTTCAACTTCTGGTACGGTCTGCCGGAGAACCTCACCAAGATCGACGCCATCTACCAGCGACCACATGACCACAAGATCGTCATCTTCATCGGTCGGCAGTTCTGGGTGTACAACAGTAACACGCCAGAGGCCGGCTACCCGCAGCCACTGACTGCCCTCGGACTGCCCGAAAGCCTCGACGGCCTCGACGCCGCCATGGTCTGGGGACACAACGGCAAGACGTACCTCTTCCGCAACGACATGTACTGGCGTTTCGACGAGGCCGTCGGCCAGGTGGAGCTGGACTATCCGCGGGACATTAGTGTGTGGCACGGGGTGCCCTACAAACTCGATGCCGCCTTCCAATACGGCGGCCTCACTTATTTCTTCAAGGGACGTCAGTTCTGGCGCTTCGACGACCGTCTCATGCGAGTGCAAAGTCCAGTGCCGTCATTGTCAGCCGTTAAGTGGATGGGATGTCCATTGACAACGGCGCGTTCAGATAAACTCTTTTCGGAGTCGTCAAGCGGCTCCAGTCTTTCGTTCGTTGCTGCCACCTTGATATCGGCGCTACTGACGACACGAGTGCTGCGCTAGCCCCGCCTCCACTGCCACCCTTTATTTAAGACTTGTTGTGATATGTTGTGTAATTTAATGTGCAGCGAAAGAATGAAATCGCGACGGAACGAGTGACCGCATGAGCGAGCGCGAGGAATGAGAACAGTGCTACATTTTCAGGACGGTTGATCTGCCAAGAGCGTGTTGGTGACCGGAGCGATGGATGTGATGTTCTTATAGCGAGGGTGTGGAACCCATCTCGGACAGACGGACCAAAGAGAATGGAAGCGCCGTGTTAGAGCTCTTTGAACCCAGATAGCACGTGCGGTGAAGCGCTGCAAATTCGGAGAGCTACGCGAGCTTTCTCCCAATCCTAGTCCAAGCGATGTATCGCCAGTGTACATCCACGCTCGCTCTATATTTTTCATTGGCGCAATGCGTTTGCTTCATTGTACTCACGTCAGTTTATAGACATCTTGTGATCAAGGAGGAAACATAATAAACTCATATATTATATCAATCTCACAGCTTTGATGTCAGAAGTATCGGCTAGAGTGGTAATTTACTGTACCTGATGAAAGAGTGACACTGATGGTAAGCTAGCAGTCCAAGGACCTGCTCCAACAATAATAACTGCTTCTGATAGCTATAAATCACCTTGGCCGCCATAATGAGAATGATTATTGACATGACATTTCAATGTTTGCCAAAGCAAACATAAAAACAGTTCATTTGGAATATCTAGCTGTCACCTATGTGAGCCATAATGAAACTTATGGTCATGCCAGGTAGCCAGCTTACACAAAACTAAAAACAATGTTTGTTACAGTGCGCTGGGATGATTTGCGAGCCAATTCGCTGTTGAGGCGTCGTTATGGATTACATCAGCACAATAACCCAATGAAATCCTTAGCTTTACGCGCCATTGCATAACAGTAAGAAAGTATGATGGAATGTCCTGATCACTGATATCACCAGAAAGAAAGCGTGGCACATGGTTCGCTGAAACCGGAAGTGGGGGAAGGGGGGCTGACTTTCCAATGACCGCACTTCCGGATGGTACTCGGAATCCCTTTGATCAACGTCATAAGCAGTCCGAGGTCTGATATCATGCGAATGTGGTAAAATCTCACTCAGTTCCAATGGTGAATTTCCAACAAGTCACGTTCTGGTCCCCAGGGAACTTCTTGAGGCTACTTAATACAGCTTCCTCAGTATTGAGGTTTTAGACCATCCACCGTGCTGAAAATATGCGCCATCACGCTCCAAATAGACACGCCTCCGATTGTGTCGATAAAAGTTATTCGATTCGGCGGGCTGAGAGCCGTAGTCGAGTGCTCGGGTCCGCCCGCCGCCCACCACGACGGGACATTTTTGGAGCCGAGGGGAGCAGCAGAAGCGCTGACGTCACCACCCAGCCTCGGAGGAGACCGGATCCCACAATAAGATGTCACGATGTCTGGCGGAGCCGGCTCTTGTCGCGTCACGATCCCAATCGGCCGAGACCACCGGCGTTCCTCAAGGCTCGGCGCCTGTCCCCATATACACAGCGGCGTATCCCAGGACAATGCCCAGCAGCCGCTTCTGTGCTAGCGGACATGCCACGAGTGAGTCACCACCTCGCCGGTAAATATATTCTCGTAATCCTTTCAGGGTCCGCTGGCAGGCGATATGCTAGATAGTGGTTGGCAATGGCCCGTCCATGTATGGCAAGGGGTGGGCGGGGACTGGGGGGGAAGGATAGATAGCATTTAAAGCAGCGCGTGATGGCAGCGGGTTAGTGCGCATCCCGTACTAACGAGGGCTTAAATAGATTAGAGTATAATTACTCCTGGATAGAAAGTACACGGCGAAAGGGTGTTTACGATGTTTGAGGACTTGGCGGCTGAAAGAGACTGCAAGCTTCTTTCACGAATGCTGGAAGCGTTTTTTCCCGTTGAACAATTTTTTTTCCTTGAACACTCGCCTGCACCAAGTTAGGCATCACATGGCCAATGCGTGTTTTCACTCTACCAGCCACCTATGACAGCCTGTTTACTGTGTTTAGCCGGTAAAACTTGCCTAGGGTAAATCTTAGTAACGGCTGGGTACAAAACATGGCTCCTAGCCTCATGAGGGTCAGTTGCACTAACAAGATTCGTCAGCCATAAATTCAGTTACAGAAAACAATCAATCAGATAGCTGAATCCGATGACATGAGATGGCATCATGAAGTAAGGAAACAGGAGCACTCGGGTGACCAGTGACTACTAGCCCACCAAACTAAGCCATGCTGCCGTTGACTGACACCCGAGGAATGCGCCTGTCCCTGTGTGCTTGAATGGCATGAAGCACAGTGCTTCATGCCATGTCTAACTGCACGGTCAACAATTGTGCAGTCAAACATCAGGTGCCCTTTCCGGACATGCCAATATCATCTGTCCAACGGAGCTCAGCAAGAAATGCACCGATCGCAGCACACCACTCAATCAACAGAAGGAGCTCCGCTTCTGCGATGACCAGGCGACCTGACCACAGTCAGTTCAGTATCAGGGTGCGACCTGGCGAGCCAGGTCGGTCTGCAAGATATCGTCACGGACCTCAGACGTGTCCTTCACCCGCTGCTTCCACATGTCCTTCACTGACCTGACCGTCTCCATGGCCCTGGGGCCCTAAGGGTAGTCGCCAGCCTGGCGACAGCAGCAGCAGACGGATTTCCCTTATACGGTTTGGAGGGGGCCCACACCACTCCAAAACGGCAGACGTCTCCGGATTCCGACATTGACATGCTCCCGCGAACGCCAGATTGCTGAGAGATATTGTGCGGGGTGTTTGTTTTCTAGGGATGTCCGCTCTTATTTTGAAACGCGTTCACGTTTGCTGTTCCTGGTTGTTTTTCATGTTAAATTGATAGCATATCATAACAATACATCATTTCAAGCGTTAAATCAAATAACAGGCATCTTGGATGATTTCCTATTGTAGTTACATGTTCCCGTCATTTAAAACCCGTTCCGACTTTATTCTGTCCCATCAAAAGCATCTGTTTTCGTACAAAACAGCTCCTCCGCTCAGACGTACAGCAAAGCCATCGAGCCTTTGATAACGGTTGTTATCGCACAGACACTACGGTGACTTCGCAAGTTTTGTGCTGTTCGTTTCATTCCCGATAAGGGAGGACGGTGGCTGGCACGATGCCAAGTGAGCTTTTAAAGATTAAAATTATAATGAAGCGCTCCCATCCCACGTTGACGCGGCCAAGTCTCTATCAAAGCTTCTATCGATAACGCCTGGTGTATCCTAGAAAGCTGACCAAAAGCGCAGCCCACACGCCGTCGCAATCCGTTCATTTTACTCATTCAGCCTTCACGCCAAACCAGATGCGCGCCTCACCCCTGCCCACACTCTGACCCAGTCTTCACCTTCCCCATCGTGCAGCTCGAGCCAGACCTACGTCACAGCAGCTCTGTTGCGTGGGCCCGCCCTGGCGCTACCCGTAATCGCCACTGATCTCTGTCGGCTGTGAGCGCGGCGGACCGGCGGGCGAGGCGCGCTCCGCGAGCCGCCACGCGCCGACTGTCGGCCGAGCTGTCACCGCCGACAAACGGTTCCACGGTGAGACTGGTGAAGCAACACCGGCCGAGCAGGGCACCGCGGCGGGGGCGGCGGCGCGCGTGCACAAAACGGCACGTGGCGGATAGGCTGACCCCGCGGTGGCATCGTCCGCGCGCCGGGCCGTCTCAGCGGCACTTCTTCGAGATAGCGTCTGGCGCAGATGCGGCACAGGCGCTACTCACAGATAACAGACGGGCGGGATGGTAACTAGAGGTGGAAATGAATATTAGTCATTAGTCAAAAATTAGTCGACTAACGTTAGTCAAGCACTTTTTTAGTCAGTCAAAAGTCAGTCAACCAAAATGTTTGTTAGTCATTAGTCAGTCATTAGTCAATGATTTTGTTGCATATTAGTCGACTAATTTGTCGTGATTCGTGAGGTGACTTAACCCTCGCCCTGACAGGGGAGGGGTCGATGCGACCCCCCCCCCCCTGAGTTTTTTTTTGCGATGCGCGCTGAACTATTAGTCGGATCGTGCTGAATTTTTCAATAGCCTCTGGGGTATCCTTTGCACAACTTTTGCTAGACAAAAAAAAAAATCGGGTCATGTCAGTTCACCGAGCTATGACGTCATAATAAGTACAACCTCCGACCGTTTTTGACAAAATCGTACATACCGTAACTGGACGTGATCTCATCGACAAGAACGAAACTATTCTGTGTGGTTTATGTCAGAATTTGACTGGACATGATCTTTACATTGTATATTGACCTTTCTAAGGTCAACCAAGATGATCTCGCATGTTCACACGCTGACCTCCGTGATATGAGCTGTGTTTAGTGTCTGTAGTGGGGTTTCTTGAGGTCCTGAATCCGAATCTGCGGTTCAATTTCCACCTAAACGCCTTCAAAACTGTTCCTACAAGTGGCAGTGAACTCCCCACTTCCCCAGGTCTCCGGTTGACGGGCGGCCGCTGCTGCTGCCGGTCAGCGAGCATAGCCTTGCGGCTTTTTGGGCCAGGTACCGTGGTACGTGACGTCATTGAAAGCTTTTTTTATCACCATAAAAAGTCATAAAAAGTCAACAATATGTAATTTTGCAGCTGAGGAATACGCTCTTCGAAGTTGCAAGTCTCTATCTTTCATAGACGCACCAATGTTGACTCGATTAGTTGGAAAGCTCTCGATATTCGCAAACGTCCTCGCCAGCGGCGTGCGTGGCCTCCCATGTTTCCGGGGAATACGTCACGCCAGTAATGACTGAAATGCAGTCCACTATTCCTCATTTTGTTGCTAATTCGTTGCGAAACGCGGTCGTGAAAGTTTCATGACGCTATATTTCATAAATTCGCCAATATTGGCTAAGTAATTTGGAAAATTATAGTTTTTCCACGAAATTTGACCTTTGACCAATGACCTGTCATAACTGGGTCAAATATTGACCCATGGTAAAAATATACCACCAATCGCGAGTACTCGTTGAGACCAATCGACTGGTCTTTGTTGCGAAACGCCACGACGCTTAGTTTCGAAACGCCAGAAGGATCGCATCGACCCCCCCCCCCCCCCCAGCCAGGCCGCGTTACGAAAAATGTCCTGCCAGGGCCGGGCGAGGGTTAACCCGCGCCCCACTGGGGGTCGCCGGCCGAATGCGCCCGGCTGGGGGGATAAATTTTACCCCCCCCCCTCCTCCCCGCCTGTTATCTCCCTAACCAGGCGTCGTAGCGGCTGACAAGATATCTTGCGGTGGCTTCGCATCGCGTTGGCCATAAAATGATTAGGGAGAAAATTTGGGATCGATTTGTGTTTTTTCCGGTGTCGATCGGAATTATTTACGCAGTGCTAACAAATTCCGAAATTTAGTCAAATATTAGTCAAAATCAAGAAAAATGGCGTTAGTCATTCATTAGTCAATCAAGCCTTTTGAGACCAAAGATTAGTCAGTCAAAAGTCAGTCAACCAAAATTGTCATTAGTCATTAGTCA